GCTTTCTCCCTAAGATCGGGAGTCAGACCAAGATGCCCCTTTCTCAGTGCTGCCAGCCGGCATCGTCCAGATGTTCTAGCCAGAGAAATAGCATCCCACCCATCACAGTGATCGACGCATAACCCCCCACCCCTGCTCCCAGGGGGATGAACATCAGAAACATGGGTGAAGGGAGACAGCGGTCAGTGCAAGATATGAAAATAATAATAATGTATAATTTATCGAGGGTGGGAGGGTGGGGGAAAGAGGGAAAACAGAGGAGCTGATACCAAGGGCTCAAATAGAAAGTAACATTTTAGAAAATGATGATGGCAACACATGAACAAATATGCAGGATACAGTTGAGGTATGGATTGTTATAAGTGCTGTAAGAGCCCTCGATAAAGTGATCTTGATTTAAAAAAAAGAAAGAAAGAAAAAACATCCAACTTGGAAAGGCAGAAGTGAGACATTCACCGATGGTCTGTGTGACCTTGTAGTCATAGCTAGGGAACCCTCAGAGTCTGTGAGGCGCGATTAGATCAAAGAGCCGTGCAGTCACATGTCAGAGTTCAAGACCAGCACACGGAGGTCTGCTGTGTCTATACTAGCACAGACAACCCCAGAGCAAGTTAAGACGACACGTCCATTTACCCTAGCATCAGAAATAATAAAATACTCAAGCTCACACACGTGGCCATTGAAACCTGCAAAATGTGCCCGAAAGAAACGAGAGACTTGAAGAAATGGAGCTGGAAGGCTGACTGCTGCGAAGGGAAGACAGTACGTATTCCACAAAGCAACCCGGAGGCTCCATGGCAGCCCCATCAATAGTCCAATGGCATTAGGGGCAGAAGTGGTAGCGCCCATCCAGAAATTCATGTGGAATTGCAAGGGAACCCCAAGAAGCGCAAAGAAGGTGTCTTGGACTGCCTTCTCGAGAGAAGCAAAACCAGAGAGGCTTAGATTCACACACAGATGGAGGTTTAGCTCAAAGGGATGGCTCACACGGCTAACGGGCAGGGCAAGTTCCAAATCCAAGAGTCAGACATCTGGCTGGAGGCTTCTCCTGACTCATATAGCTGTCGGGCTGATGAATCCTAAGACTGACAGGTCTGACCTACCCTGATGCAGCCCTGAGAGCTGGAACGGCCATGTGGAGACTCCTGCCAGGGCTGAGATGCTTCTACCACCAAAGACTTTCTACCCACCGGCCTGTGATCGTCTACACTCGGTTTCATTGCCTGTGATTCGTGAGTCTGCAAGGTCTTTATAGATTGCTGTCTAACATATGGGCTGATATCATCCTTATGGCTTTGGACTGGACTGGACTGGGCTGGGATGTTTTCTCAATGTTCAATTGCTCTTGTCTATAAAGCTCTTTCTTAGACACATATGTGTGTCCATGGATTTGTTTCTCTACTCTACCCAGACTAACACAGTCATTGTCTTCTCTGAGACCCATAGCGCCCAGAATGATGAAACCTCCCACAGCTTCCCACCTGGGTGTACACTACACTACATTGTTGTCAGAGGGGGCTCGGGGAGGAGATGAGCCAGTCAGGGTGCGATGTAACAACGATGAGAAATACAACTTTCCTCTAGTTCCTAAA